CCCCCCTCGCCGTGCCCCTTCCTGGAGTCCGGTGAAAATTAACCCTGTCCTGGCCAAACCCAGGACAGACACCAAGCCGTGTGGTGCAGTCCACACGCCTGAGGGACAGGATGCCTTCCAGAGCAACGTGGACAAGCTTGGTGTGAACCTCATGAGGTTTGCCCACATACCCAAGAGTCAGGCCACTGAGGAACATCAAAACCACCAGCAGATGGATGAGGCTGCTAAGACTGAAGTGGCTCAGGCAGATCTGGACTGGCAACATTCGGGTGCGCCCGGGTCGGAGGGAGGGGATTCTGCCCCTTTACTCCGCTCTCGTGAGACCTGACCTGGAGTCCTGCATCCAGCTCTGGAGCCCTCAGCACAAGAAGGACATGGACCTATTTGAGTTGGTCCAGAGAAGGCCACAAAAATGATTTGAGGGCTGGAACACCTCTCCTATGAGGAAAGGCTGAGAGAGTTGGGGCTCTCAGCCTGGAGAAGAGAAGGCTGTGGGGAGACCTTACTGCGGCCTTCCAGTACTTAAACAGGGCTTACATAAAAGATAGGGACAAACTTTTTAGCAAGGCCTGTTGTGACAGAACAAGGGGTGATGGTTTTAAACTAAGGGAGGGTAGATTTAGACTTGATATAAAGAAGAAATTCTTTACAGTGAGGGTGGTGAAACACTGGCACAGGTTGCCCAGAGAGGTGGTCGATGCCCCATCCCTGGAAACATTCAAGGCCAGGCTGGATGGGGCTCTGAGCAACCTGGTCTAGTTGAAGATGTCCCTCGTCTCTGCAGGGGGGCTGGGCTAGACGGCCTCTAAAGGTCCCTTCCAACCCAAACTATTCTATGATTTTACATAAGAAGCCGTACCAGTTGCAAACTTACGTCCCAATCACACAAGTATTCAGAAGTTAGAATTAAAAAATAGTATCTTCTCCTCTCAATTTAAATGAAATATACTAACTACAAAAATATTTCATAATACTTTTTCCCTTAATTTTGTTTACCTGTATATTGTGGTAGTTGGTGTGTTCACCTTCTCATTAAGGATACGACACTTAAACCTGTTATACTGTGTGGAGAAACATGAAAAGTCAGAAACATCAGTAAAACAGCTAAGAAAATTATATTTTAAAATTATGTATTAATAATGCAAATGCATCAGTAAAAGACACAACTAAAAAAAATTACACGATCACATATATGTATGCAAGAATTCAACATCCTTTCAGAAGAGTTATAAAACAATAGGGGAAAGAGACAAAAATAAGTTAATTTCCTCGAGGGTGGGTTAAGCATAGTGATTACCACCTGAACACCTCAAAGCACTTTTGAAAGGGAATTAAAACACAGTACAGTGAGACTGGTAATATTCACTGTACAAAACAGAGGACTGAAGTATTTTTTGACTTGTCTCTGCAAGTGAACCAGAATGAATGCATGCCTTTTGTGTACTAATTTCTTTGTCATTTAAATGAGCTTAAGGTGTTTTTGTGTAACAAGAAGTTGTTTTTATTATAGCCTGAAAACATCCTGAACATTTGAGAGAAATATGGATGTTAATCTTTGTTTTACTAGACAGGTAATATTCTGATGATTCAGTCACATGCAGTATTTTTAAAATGTAACTTTTATAAAGATCATTGTACCAGAATCTTAGCTACTCCAAAGATTTACCTTAAACATGTCTAACAGGATCTCCTTTTTGACTTCCAGCCTTTCAAAAGCTTGCTTCTCTTTTATGATATTTTTACAGCTGTTCTCTAGTAGTGGGAATTCAGTACTAGATACACCTCTAAACAAAAAGACACAGGCAAAATAAATATAAATTAATTATTCTGATGTTTCCATTTTTTAAATGACCATTTTCTAGTGGTCTAATCTGAAAAACATGGGATGTGTTGTGATCTGTTACAGTATTTTCTCAGTTTCTTATGATCGGCTGTACTTTCAGACACTAAACTCAGGAACACAAAGAGTATCACCCTGAACAAACACACTGCAATCACTCCTGGAACAGTCTTTGACATGTTTAAACGTCTGGAAGTTCTGTAGTTCAAAGTATATATAATTTCAGGAAGGAAAAAAAAAAAGTCTTAACCCAGCTGCAGGAGCTATTTTATCAGCTGATGCAGATTCAGTAGTCTCCCTGACTACAAAAGATAAACAAGGAAAAAACAGAATTGTAAAGCTGTGCACAAGGATTAGAAAAGTAGTAAACACCTAGATGAGTTACATGCATATGTGCCATTTCTGTAGGTGAGCGTGGCACTTCGAAATCAAACTCACACAATTTTTCAAGGAAACTGTCTCCTGTATCTCCCAGGAACTTCAGAAAGTTTTACCCAAACACTCTGCACTTTTTTTACAGAACATTCAACAGCTACAAGTCTTACAGAGCAGGTGTCCAAACACTGCTCTTAAATATACATACACACTCAATATATATGTATACACAGACATCTACTATGAAGACGACTAACTTGTCAATTTTAAACATTACTAGATACCTGATTTTACTTTTAACATGCAGAAACATGACTGAACAAAAATAATTCTAGTACTGAGCTTCAATCCACAGTATTAAAGTTCTTAGACACTGAAATTTTACCTATCTTCAATGTACATGTCATAATAAAATCCATTCTCAATTGGTGGTCCATAGCATAAGCAGCCCCCAAAATAACCTTCCATGGCCTCTCCAAGAATATGAGCACTTGAATGCCAATAGACCTGCAAATAAAGTCAGGTGAGCAAGTCATGGGGTCATTGGCATTGTGTAACTAAAAAGAAAAAACAAACCAGAAGTTTATCTGCAGATGGGAAATACACTGGAATGAATGTTGTTTAAATTCTATGAGCAGTGTAACAATTTTCTGTTCTCATTTTGAAGTACACTGAATGATTAACCTAATGGCAGACATAGCAATAAAGCCTCATCGTATTTCACTCTGAAAGATGATGCATGATTACCTCACCTTAGTACTTCTTGTACCTTGTTCACTTACAAGCTAGTTTCCAGTCAGTGAAAAGTCAATGCTTTAGATGCCATTAGTATTGCAATGTAGCCAATTTAGCTACATACAGTTGCTCACACACAGTACATTTGTTAACAGGACTGTAAACCACATTACCAGAAATGTCAGCAGAGAAGAGTCAACAACCCAGCAGACCAGTATCAATCTTATGCTCTAAGTCCCTATTAATTCAGGCCACCTCATAGCCACTGCTACAAGACAAAGACTTTACAGGCTGCTGAAATGCCTCAAATGAGCTTAATCACATTAATAATTCTTCAACAAAATGAATTCCAACTCTCGTGCATAAAGATAAACACAGCCTTAAGACTGAATCCTGTTAAAAAAAAAATCTTGGGTGTGTCGCTAAGTATATTCATAATTTAATTGACTAACATACACCTACTTAAGTTTCTAACAAAGAATGCTCTTCCAAGGAGGTGCAGATTTTGCTTATGACTCAAATCTGATACTGGAAATTTTTCAGAAAACTGTAAGATGGCTTCACTATTGCTTTCAGTGTCTGATCTTCACATGCACCACCTCAAACCATAGAACACGTGTCTTAGAAGACATCAATCTATTTGAAGTTAGCATACAAATCAAGACATTCTGTACGATCTTGTTTCAGAAATAACCTGTTTACGTAAAAGGGAAGGGAAGAAAAGACCACTAAGATTTTATTTCCCTATAGATTATAGGTACTCAGCATCTAATCTTCTTCGTTGAATAATCACAAATACATTACTTAAATAGTTTGGGGGATTTTTGTTTAAATTCAAGATTTTAAAAGCATAATGCTGCTATCAATTTCACTACATTAGTAGCTTTAATCAGACAGAAACCAGTGAGTGTTTACTCACAGCTTTTGCTTCCTCACTATCAAACGTAAGCAGCTCCAGAGTACAGTCTCCCTCCAGCGGACGATCCAGGTCCCACAGTTCACTATTCACTTTGGCTATGACTGCATTTGAAGACAACACTTGACTAAAACACACAAATTATGACAAGAGACCAAAATATTTAGGTTCAGATTAACAAAAGTCCTTAGGTTTCTAAACCCCATGAGACCCCACCCACATCTCATAGCACCTAAAGACCTTTAATTTTTGTTTCTGTCATCTTCTTAAACACTTCTCTACTTTTGAAGTGTAGACCCTCAAGGCTTTAATACTTCATCCAACAGTTTTCAGTGCTGGGGATCTGGAGGAAAGACTGCTTCCAGCTACAGCTTCTGCTGTTATCTGGTAACTCACAAAACTACAGATGTCTCTATTAATTCCTAGCAGTCTCACCAATTGTTGTACTTTTTAATTGGAAGCAAGCATTATGATCCCAGCACAGACCTTCAGGCATCGTTCACAACAGTAACTTCATCCAGCTGTTTCTTCTGCATCAAGCTGAAGTTTCGATGATGCTTTCCAAATAAACCACCTTAAGACAGTCACCATCCACTGACCGTGACACGTATTTGATGAAACAAGATAAGAGACTAATGATAGTAACAGACTTATCATTGCAAAAGCACAACTCCTTCCATCTGCAGGTTACCTAATTTCTGTGGCTAATTGATATGGCGTGGTTTTCCAAGATTCCCCTTCAACCATCTTTCCATCTGTCAGAGTAATTTTGATAGGTTTGCTCTGGTTGGTGGCTCTGTAAGCTAGCAAAGCATCATGTTCCTTTTTCAGTGCTTCGTAAAGCTTCAGTCTGTCTTCTATGAAGCTTGGCTCACACTGCAGCTGTAACGAATAAATTAAATCACACACATACATATTTGTGAGCGAAACTGAATAAAAGGATTCGGTGTTCATGCATCCCTAGAGGTTCCACCCGAGACCAGCTTTTACTGTACTAGAATTTATACTACTATGCAGTAAAGCATTTGTAAACAATTATACACAGGAAAAGTCGCATCCAACTCGCTGACTGTTTTATAGTGGCTTTCCAATTTTCCAGTGCACCTTCATCAGTGTGGGCCTAAATGGCTTTGTGAGTTTGACCTCTGAAAGCAGCCTACATTCCTGCCCCAGAATTTGTTACTTGGCTGACATCGTAGAGAAGTTTGGATCACTCCAACAAGCCCCCACGTCTGCCCATCCATTCAAAGCAGGCTCAAATAAGGTAGTTCATGGGAAGTTTCCTTTAGTTTACCATAAGGTGAATTATTCAGAGCTACTGAACTACAGCTAGTGCTGCCAACATCCTCTTTCAGTCATCATGCACGCTGTTTAACTATTCCTGAACCATCGCTCTCTTTTGCAACCACAGTATGCTGACCCTTATTTCCCAATAGCCCAAACTCTTTTGTTACATAAAAAACGGAGATCTAAGAATGTGTAAGTAACCCTACTAATAATACGCAAGATGAAGCTCTCAGGTAATGATTTTTTCTATATGCATGCCATAGCAAGCCTTCTTCCCAAAATCCGAAATTTCAAAATACAGCAAATTATTTCAGATTTCAGCACCTCTTCTGAACCTAGCCAAACAATACTCTTTCTTCTACTATTATGAGATATAAAATAACCATTTACATCATCTCGATGTCGGTTCACAGCTTCATTCTCTTTTTTCTTTTCCTCTTTACTTTGACTCACTTCAACAGCTGGACTTGCGCTGGAGACTTTCTGAAAACAGTGACAATATGAAGTATACCCCTATGCTTTTAAGCCTTTCCCAGCAATCACTGACACAAACCAACCGCATCCGAGCAATATTGGGCTAAACAGGCAATTACATCTGGGTATGTCCTTAGTAGAGAGGAAAGACTTCTCAGGGCACATCTAAACTCCGTCCTTTTGATGTTTAGCAGACATAGCAGAAGTGCTCACCAAGCAAAATCTTCTCTGGACAGCTTCCCCAACTTTACTGCTGCAGCCATCACCGGCAGAATCTCCCCCGCCAAAGGCCGGGAGACCAGAGCGGCCCAGCGCGCAGTAACGCCGCTCTCGGCGGTCCACCACCTGCTCCAGCCCAGCTGAACAGCAGGGGCTGCCCAGAGCAGCACCGCGCAGCGCTCCGGGCACACGAGGAACGCG